ACAAAAGAAACCTGCCACAATGTGATGTAGCAGGCGCGGTGTGGCTGCAGTAATTGCAGCAGCGCCGTAGCTATAGTCCGGCAGAAACGATCTTTGTAATCGCGGGTCTTGTACCCATTCTTGGTAGACCTCTCCCGCTTGAACAACTCCACAAATTGCGCCTCGTCCTGCTTAGACACCTTGACGCTCTCACTATCAAAGAGGAGGTGCCCTCGGATGCCGGGACACCTTCCCAATGCCTGCGCCCAGTCTTGGACGGTCCACCGATCAACATGCGGACGCAGTCCGCGCGAAGGTGGTCCCTGTGGCTCCAGCCACTCGCGCACCATATCCACACAAATGTAGTTCCATCCCCACAGCAAGAAATCGAGCTTTCTTGCAATGAGCCGTTCCTCGTAGGCGCGCAACCCGTTCTGTGGGAGCCGGAGCGGCAGCATCCGCAATCGGTTCAGCCTCGACATTGCGTTCTTGGAATTCGCCTTCTCGCTAATTCTTTCTCTGCTCCGCTCGAGCTCCTTGGTCCCTCGGCAAACTCTAATCTCACTCAATTCTAAATCACGCGCACTCAATTCTCTCTCAATCAACAAATAATCTTCTGCGCGGCGATGTCTGGAATGCTTAGCAGCTAGCAGATGGACGCGCGCAGCTCGCACTAGAAAATGGAATCGCGAATTCAAGAATGGGGCGTTCTCCGTCTCACGGTCGAAGGTCATGGTCGACTCTTGATCGTGAGGGTCGAATCAATTGATGGCCGCGCCGGCTCTACGCCAAAACGGTCTCCGCTCTCACGCGCGGCTTCACGCTCCGCCGACGCTGATTTAACTCACACGCTCGAATTGGCGAATTTGAACTCCGCGAGCGTACTACGCCGCGGACATGGGTGTGCAGCGCCGAAGGCGTCTTTTCTGCCTTGCGCGGTACACTCATTCGTACCGCTCCTCGGCCCATCCTCCTCTGTCTCGGCGCCCGTCCGCGCATCAGGCAAAAGTTAAACTCCCGCCTGTGCGCAGGCGGAATCCCCGGCGGATTCTCCGCCGGCGCGGAACTTCACCCGCCTGTGCGCAGGCGCTCGCCTGCGCATAGGCGAATTCCGTCCGCGCTGCTGCGCTGGCACGGAAGGCGTTGACCGCAGTCCACTGACTCCGTCCAGACTGTCTGTTCCTTGTCTCTCCGTTGGCGCTCTCGTCGCCGCAACTCCGTCCGACCAAGAGCGCATCCATCCGTTCCGTCCGTACAGTCCGTACGGTCCGTACGGATTTTACTACTCCGGCGGCTCCTCGCTCGTCCGCGCTGTTGCGCTGGCGCGGAAGGCGCCGTACAATGTCTACCTCCGAAGGCGCATTTCTAGGGCCGAAGGCGGATTTCCCGCCGACGCCTTAGCGCATGTGCGCAGGCGACCGCCTCTGCGTAGGCGAACTTCGCTCGTGCGCCTGTGCAGAGGTTCCCTCGCCTGTGCGTAGGCGACATTCGCGCCTACGTCAAAACCCTATTTCGCCTGTGCGCAGGCGACATTCCTTCGTCCGCGCATAGGACAAAACTTTCTTCGCTTGTGCGCAGGCGGAAAGCTGAGTATCTTGCGACCTTCATAACTCCCGGAGTCCTCATCCGTTTGTGACGTTCTTGGGCTCGTTGAAATCAAGGCGTCGAGCTCTTTCCAACAAGACTCTAACCAAGTCGAGGCGTTTGGGGATTGACCCAATTCTGAAGGATTCCTCTAGCGCCGAAGGCGGATTTCGCGCCTTGCGCCGAAGGGATCATTGTGGTAACCCACTTTTTGTTTTTTTGTCGGAACTAAAACATTTTTGAATAATAAGTACCGCGGTAGCAGCTGTAAATAGTAATCGGTACGCGAAACCAGAGTAAAAAGAGGATCGAGGACAGTCAAGGGGTTTTGGGCTTAGGCCACAGTGGGACGCTCAGGACGGAACGGGCGGTTCATGCTGCAGGATCCGCTTCGAGCACCTTCGGCGGTAGATCACTCATAACTTTCTCAATTCGTAACGTCTTGAGTTGCTTGGGGTCTTGTTGGAAAGAGCTCGCGACGCTCGTTCTATCGAGCCCAAGAACTTGTGAAACGGATGAGAGTTCACTGAGTTATGAGTGTCGAAAGTTATTGATGGGGGGGCTTTCGGCGGTAGAGCGACTTTGGCGGTACTCCTGCGGCGGAAGAACCGCAGGAAGATGCGCCTTGGGCGGTAGACGCCTTCGGTCAACGCCTTTGGCGATGCGGGAGAGTGAATTGGCGGAAGAGTGAATCCCTCATAACTTTCTCAATTCGCAACGCCTTGACTTGGTTAGGGTCTCGTTGGAAAGAGCTCGACGCGCTGATTCTAACGAGCCCAAGAACGCCACGAACGGAGGAGAATTCCGGGAGTTATGAAGGTCGCAAGATACTCAGCTTTCCGCCTACGCACAGGCGAAGGAAGTTTTGTCCTATGCGCGGACGAAGTAAGTTCGCCTGCGCACAGGCGTTCGCCTGTGCACAGGCGCTTCGGCGTCGGCGGGAAATCCGCCTTGGGCCCTAGAAATGCGCCTTGTGAGGTAGAAATTGTACGGCGCCTTCTGCGCCAGCGCAACGCCGCGGACGGACAGCTCAGCGCCGCGGACGGACTGTGGATAGACGAACGCCTTCGGCGGAAGAGTAAAACCAACATAACTTTCTCAATTCTTAGCGGTTTGACTTGATTCGGGTCTCGTTGGAAAGAACTCGACGAGCTGGTTTTAACGAGACCAAGATCTTTTGAAACGGATAAGGCGTCAATGAGTTATGAGCGTCGAAAGCGGCTGTCATGGTTAGGCGTGAGGCCTTCGGCGTTAACAGTTAGAGGGGCCTTCGGCCCAAGGCGGCCTGCGAGTAGGCGGCTTGCGTGTAGGACGCGTGGGACCCACAGTCCTCGGATTTTGGAGAAGGAATTTTAGCCTAGGTTCCGAGATCTTGCGGGGCCCATATCTTTGCGATGGACGGTTGGATGGATCTGAAATTTTGTGGGGTCGTTGATCTCGGCCGGCCACGCCTGCCTGCAAATTTTCAGCCTCAGATCTTGGGTGGGAAGGCGCTGGAGGCTCTGTACAGTAGGCTTAGGATTCAGATTTAGGGTTAGGGTTAGATTTAGGTTGTAAGTTAGAGGGGAAGGCAGCCGCCGACTCCTCAGGTGTAGGATCTGTTGCGGCTCGCACCATGGCAGTGCAGTGTAGTGTTAGTTAGGATTTAGAAGGTATAAAATAGTTCCAGGCGTTTTGCCTGGAGTTCTTTCCCATCAGAAGTGCAGATCAGGAACCCATTTCCTTTGCGTGTTTGTGTCCTTGAGTTCTGTCACCACGCACGAGGAGTTACAACTTAGCGTTCCGCATTTTGTAACTTAAGGCCTTCGGCCGAATGTTCAGAGCTAGTACATTGGTTAGAGACTTGAGTAGTTCGGAACTGCACCTGCGGGTGACTGCCGATGCTAAGAGCCAGTGACTAGTTAGATACTTGAACAGTTTCGCCTCTACACCTTCGAGTGTTCCTTTCTGATTGTACTCCCTTGGGATTTTTCCCCTGAATGCCAAAGTGAAGTTTTGCTACTTCGTGTAAGCCTTGGTTGTAAATTCAGGTTACGCTGCAACAGGTGCTTTGAGGGTAACCCCTGTAGTATTTTTGGGAATGACAAGTGCCTGAGAATTCAAACTCTTCAATAGACTGTTGTTGTGTTACTGGAATGTTTCACAGTGAGTCCTTCAGTGCGGACCTGTGTTCTCTGCGCGTTTTGTGAGTTGAGAGTGTTGTTCACCGCGTATGAGTGACTTCGATCCGAAGTAGGCAGTCCAAACCGGGTTTCCTACGCTAGCAGCAAGCTAGTGGAAGCGTTGTAAAAGCCGGAGTTGGAAGTCACTACCCGCAGCTTCGCTGAGTGTACTCTTGAGAGACTTCCCCCCTGAAATCTTGAGTAGAGGTCCTAACGGATCTCTGGGTTGTGTTTCTGTAGTTTCAGGTGTGTGTGTGTGTGTGTGTACGCTGCACTGTGCGACCTCCGAGTGCGCTCCGAGTGGACACTTGCAGTATTTCTGGGAGTGACAGTCGCCTGAGAATTCAAACTCATCAATAGTCTGTTAAACGTGACACTTTGTACCCTGTGTGTTCCCCTGTCCCTGTGGGTTCGACCTTTCTACCACTATATTGCAGTTTTAGCCTTTAGTGGGTTATTACAATCATACCTTCAGAGCTCGCAGGGAGGGTGGTGCCCGTCCCGTACGTTGCACCCTACTCCTAGATTCTACGAGTTCCCTCAAGAATCTCTGCGATCTTCCGAGTTCACTCTATTTTGATGCACCGAAAGCTATTTACACTGCTGCCGTGGTACAGTTTTCCAAAAAGGTTTTAATTTCCTCAAAATTACCAAAAGTGGGGTGCCACAATTTTACATTAAAACATACCATTCTCACCATACGTATTAATTTAATAAATCACGATTTACAATGTGGAACTCGTATCAGATAAAAAATTATGTCATTAATCCATAACAATTATTAGATTAGAATAGAATAATGCAGCTTATTGAATTGAAAAGATCTTGAAAGATTTTGACAAACAAGATTTTCTACAATGTCTTTGTTTAACTTCTGCAAAAATTATCAACAAAAAACTCTATAGAGCACAATCTCAACCAAGAAATTAAATTCTTGTATGCTATTTCGCACTCAATTTCCTAACTGATAGTTTCCATAATGCGCTTTGAAAAACTCTCCCTCAGTGGTTCCTGCATGTTTTGTTTCCATGGATTTTTAAACTTCAATAAAGCATCAGTGCTCAGTGCATGTATGGTTGTTAAACTTTATGATCAACTAAAGCTTCTTGGTTAAATAATACAGAAAAAGGGTTCGTGAAAACCACATCAAGTCTTGCAGGATGAAAGGGAACGAGTTTTAAAGATCTACACGCTGCTTTGTTTTTGAACTGCTATTATTATGCCAAAACCATATTATGGACGTTGTGATTAAAGGATGCAAAATACTGCAAATAAACTAGATGAGATTTGAGGCAGCTGTTACTAGTTATTAAAATTCGATGCATGATCAGATAAATAGAGATGCATCTTAGAAGGTACTGTAGTTCTTTTCATAGAACTACAAGCAGTTATAAAGAAGAAATGCTGAAACGAATAGTTGTGTGAAGATGGCCACGCAACTCCACCCCGAAAACTTGATTAGACAAATACATACTCTATGGACCAATATATGTACAAATTGCCCACCACACTACCACTAGCAATGGAAATTATGATTACTGGAGGGCAGATATACTAAAACAAACTTACAACTAGGCACAGGAAATTAGAAGTTAGTCACTAACTTCTAACTTCACACTAACTGTTAGTGTGACTGGATGGTTATCTACTCTTGCATCACATCTGTCACAGTTACTTTCCGCTTCTCCTTATTGCTCGATGACAGTGGATTGTTGTGCCAATTTCTTTTCCTTTGATTTATGAACCAGTTGTTGATTTGTTTCAGTTCCAATCCCGTCGTTTTGAGAAGAACTTCTTTCTCATCTTCCTGTAGGCATGAACATGGGAAATCATATGAATACTTTCCACAAGCTTCTCCAATTGAATTTGTAGAAGTTAAGCTGAAAAAAAGAACACAGCGAGCATACCGTTGGATAAGGCCACTTTGAATGAGCATCCCACCACGCCTTGAGTATTTGTGTGGTTCCGTCTGGCAATTTGCCCGCTCTTCGTTTTCTCAAAATCTCATCTCTCACTTCTTTGATCTTCTTCTTGTACTTTTCCTTTATTCGATCACAATCCACCAAGAGAATGTCAACATAGACCACAGATGTTCAGATCCCTACATCTGCTTCTGACCTATGTAGTTTGCCATCTATACACTTCTCATCATGAAAATCGAAAAATGAACACGTCAAATCTTGCAATGAATCGATGATCACTTACAAAACCAAGTGATGCAATCAACTCTCGCCTGATGCTCTCCATGACAGCACGATCTGGAACAGTAGTTCCAAAATAGTCCGAGTCCATTGCGCTCTGGACATCCGGATCACCAGCATGCTCAACATCATCAGCATCATCAGCACACTGAGAATTTGGGTCATCAGCAGACTGGACATCAGGATCATCGACATACTGGACATTAGGATCATCCCCATACTGTTCGTTCGGGTCATCAGCAAACGGTAGATTCGGATCACCTGTATACTGGAGATTCTGATCATCAGCGAACTGGAGATTAAAATCACCTCCAAACTGGAAAGTATGATCGTCTACAAACTGTACATTCGGATCACCGGTATACTGGAAATTCGGATTTCCAGTGTACTGGACGCTAGAATCACCGCCATATTGGAGATTCGCATCATCAACAAACTGCACATTCGGATCACCGGTATACTGGATATTCGGATTATCAGTATACTGGACGTTAGCACCACCAGCATACTGGAGACTAGGATCATCCACGCATTGAAAATTAGCACCACCGGCATTCTGGAGACTAGGATAATCCCCATACTGGAAACTGGCACCAGCAGCACACTGGAGACTGGAAAAATCCACATATTGGACATTAGCACCACCAGTATTCTCGAGACTAGTACGATCCCCATACTGGATAATAGCACCACCGGAATTCTGGAGACTAGGATCATGCTCATACTGGACATCAGGACCACCAGCATTCTGGAGACTAGGATCACCCCCATACTGGACAATAGCACCACTGGCATTTTGTAGACTATGATCATGGTCATACTGGACATCAGCACCACCGGCATTCTGGAGACTAGGATCACCCCCGTACTGGATAATACCACCACCGGCATTCTGGAGACTAGGATCATGGTCATACTGGACATCAGAACCACCGGCATTCTGGAGACTAGGATCATCCCCATGCTGGACATCAGGACCACCTGCATTCTGGAGACTAGGATCATGCTCATACTGGCCATCAGGAACACCGGCACTTTGGAAACTAGGATCATTCCCATACTGGAAAATAGCACCACCGGCGTTTTGGAGGCGAGGATCATCCTCATACTGGACATTAGCACCACCGGCATTCTGGAGACTAGGATCATCCATAAACTCGACATTAGCATCATCGCTATACTGTTCACTTGGATTGTCTGCACATGGGAGATCAGGGTCATCGGCGTTCTGGATATCAGTATCGAGGTCTGAGTCACTGAGATCGTCATCGTCAGTGCTAGAACTGCCATTATCCTCGCGCAAGCGTTCTTCTACAGCACTTGCAACATCTCTTTCAACAGCCTTCCGAAGTCCAATTTTATTGTCTGGGTTGTCAGACATAAGAGGCCCATCATCCAACCGACTGGGAATGCGCTGACCTGTTTGGAAAGATGAATGTAGGTGCATATGTTAGAACATATTGACTTCCAATCATGCTCAGAAGAAAAAAACTGGAGAGGAATTATTTTCTTAAATAAAAATACCCGAAAAGTGTAAGCTCAGAGGACCATGTTTGATATAAAATGAGATCTGGCATATATTTCACAAAATTTATTTTTTTCCTGATTTACATTAATAGGAGTTGAAGAGGTGAATCTGTCTATGATATAAGAGATCACCTGTCATGTCGACGAGTACCCGCTCGATGCGCCATAATTTGCTGTAAGCCAAAGTGGTGTGAACCTTGAGCTGCATCTCCAATTTCGATTGGAAATGTTTCATCCGAACCAGGAAATTTTCCTGCGACAAATATAAAATTAAGAACTGAAGTTTTGATGAATATCATTTTCATGACAAATCAATGTCTGAGAGTAGAGTCTCGTGGTTACCAGGAAGTAGTCGAATTCAAAATCATCAGGCTGGGGGCATTTGGGCGCAAACGGGAGGAAAAATTCGAAAAACTTTTGAGCCTGAACCAGCTGCAGATTGATGTCACGTATCTTGGATGCTGGAGTCATCACACGGATGCAGTCTACATGTGCCTTGAGGAGTTGAGGAAATAATGGATGGGTAATGAGTCTAGCCCTGAATCTGGCCCTCTTCCAGAAAAGGAGCTTCGTTGACAATCGATCTCTGTCAGATAACAACCTTTCCATCTCCTGAGATAAGACCTGAGGCTCTGGAGCCCCTTTTCCTGGCTGTCCTTCCCCGGATTGTGATAATTCAGGCTGCTTTCCATCCACCGGATTAGTCATGAGCATGTCTCCTGCCTGGTTTCTTACGCTCTCAATCTGACTCTCACAGTACCCCAGATAATTCATTTCATCTGCTGACAGGCCAGTCAATTCCTGTATCTGCAAATCCCCACAATGGTTTTGGTATCCATCCAAACACATTTCCTCTTGGTTAACATATACACCGCTGCCAAGCTGATTGACCTCCTCACTTCTGACCACACCATCATTCTCACTGGGCATGATTCCCCATGCTCCTGCCTCCACTTGCTGCACATGGTCTCCCTGCACCATATGGCTGTCGTTGGCGGATACACTCCCCATTCCAGTGTGTTGGAATGACTCTTGCTCTCCAAGCTGTTCCGCAACGCTTTGAATATTTCCAGTCGCTGCTCTTGGTAGCTCTTTGTTTGTGCTTTTATGATCATGGCTACCTAGATCCCTAATTCCGATTGCTTCTTGACCATAAGCAAGAGCAGATCTAGCATAACTTTCTGCCTGATCCACTGACAAAGTTTGCGGAAACTGCACCTGATCCTGATTCACATGAGCTCCATGGGGATATGTCGCGTTCCAAGTTGGTTCAGCTGGAGAAACCGTGGAATTATCTATTGACATCACTGGTAAAGAATTCCAAACAGGTCCAACAGTTTCGGAGCCTTGAAGCAGGGAATAAGAGTTGAATTGATCGCTTGCATTCTGAATCACTGGAGACCCTCTAGGCCAATTTAAGCCCAAGGCTGCTGCTTGAATTGTTTCTGCACTGATATTTTGCAATAAGGTTGGAACAGAATTCGAATCCTGCAAGGAATGGTTATCTGCAAGCTGACCTATGTCCTGGAATTGGTTTGGATGTTCTAAGTTGGAATACCGAGGCACATCATTCATGGGTGCAGAAGATAGTAAGTGAGCATGGGTAAAAGGTACTGGAGCTAACTCTGCAATTGACGGTGACTGGACATTCAGATGAGGAACTATGGCTGGTGAATGAAATGATGGTAGATACATATTACCCACCTTCGCACCTTCCTGTATGGGTACAAAATCTTCGAATCTGTTGCCTGCGCAAAATGTTTGCATTGCTTTCAAGTCAATTGGCATCTGGGTACTTTGAGATTGGTTGCTGAAATCTACAGCTGAATTTACACTGACTGGAAGTTCTGAAGGGCTCCTTAGAGTACTCATTCCACATTCCGCATGTTCGATTGAAGACTGGGTAAGCTTCATCTGAGACACCCCATAGTCAAAGTCGTTAGGAGTATAAGAAGAAACACCCATCCATTGAGACGCCATTGTAGATCCCATTATCAGTTGTGAGGAAGCTTGATTGACGTCCATTTGCGGAATCCTTGTGGGACTTGCAATTGATCTTGGTGTCACAAGCCCTGTTACTGGAGACGATCCACCAGTGTAGGATGAGGCATTTGACTGTGGTGCTGTAGTAAATTGTCTGGAGATTCCCCTCTCTGGCATCCAAGAACCGAATTGATTAAATCTGGGAGGAAGAGACTTCCAAACTCCTTGATGTGCCTGTGCCTCTTCTGAGCTCATGACAACATCTTCCGCCAATTGTGCAGAAAAAGAAACCTCTCGTTCGATCGCTGAAAGAGAGCTAGTCTCAGCCTGGCCATGCACATCTCCCACGAAACCTGTTCCTATGCTTACATGGTACTGCTCATCACAGGGATAGGCCTTCGTATCCATCCATCCTCCCATATCCTGCAGGCCTTGGGTATCCCCGCCAGTGAGATCTGATTCCCTTTGATCATCAATTTGCATCACCTGAGTGGAAAGTCCCTGACGCTCACTGAAATTTCCTTTCCTCTCCGCCGGCACATTGAATTCTGAATGCATTCTCGATCCAGTAAAGTGTTCGCGGATACTTCCATGTAATCTGTGACCTTCATTCTCATCCTCACGAGTCTGAAGAATCACATCGTTTGGATTCTGGATGGCATATTGCTGCAGTGCCATCTGTTGATCATGCAGGTGATTAAACAACATCCCATTTTCAGAACCGTACTCTGCTCCCTTCGTCTCAGCCACAGTCGAGTGCAAACTAGATCCAGTCCAGTGTTCTGGAAGATGTTCATGTAGTGTGTCATCTTCATTCTCAATCTCGCACGTAGAATGATTAGCTCGACCTTGGTTCGCGATGGCATATTGGTGCAATGCCAATTCTTGCTCCTGCAGGTGAGCATATTCCATGACACTCTGAGACTCGTGTCCATTCTCATAATACACAAGCTGAAGGGCCTCCTCTCCGTGGGATCCATCCCCACTACCATAGGAAGGCTGGTGGAAGGTCTCCAGCTGCATCCGGCTCGCCGTCCCCTCGAAATCATGCGGAGCTGACAGTTCTCTCAGATCACCATCTCCATCGAGCTGCGTATGCTGTAACCTAGTCTGCTCCCGCTCCTCTTCCTTGTCGTCGATTTGCATTTCTTCAAATCCCTGAGGAAATGGTTGGACCTCACTCCCCTCCGCACAGAGCAGCATCGGACTCCCATGCTCCTCGGTCTGTTGCTCTCTGCACTCATGGAGCAGGAGACTCCCAATCTCGTGGTTCCGCTGATGAAAATCCAGCAGCGGATTGTGATCTTCCTCGCCCGAATACCGTTCTACCTCGACTTCATTGCGCGGCTGAGATTCCAGCAGCGGATCGTGATCTCCCTCGATATGGTACGGCTTGGCGTCTGCGTTACTGTCGAAACATGGGCGCAGAGACGACACGACCTCGATGTCTCGATCACAACCTTCTGACAGTGAGGGTGGCAACAGATTCAGCGATTGAGATCCGCTACTTCTCCTCATTTCGCTGTGCACAGACACATCCATCTCCCACAGTAAGCAAAGGAGCATCAGCTCGAATGTGTCTGGGCACACGGGCTAGTCTCGACTGTGCGACAGCGACAGCGACCGCTTCGATTTCTCAACCGAGCTTAACATTCGCATCAATGTAAAGACCGGCACGATACGAAAGTACAGAGATATAATGGAACTCAATCTGCCAGCTCAGCGCATACTAAACCTCAAAAGTGCACAATTAGCGAAACAGAGCCCTAAAGCCGAGGAACGTGGGCGCCACATGGGACAGGGGCGGGGATTGGGGACCATTGAGGACACTTGAAGTCCCTCGAAGAGTGCCCGACACAAGTACAAGACGAGATAGCGAGCTGCGTTTGTTCGCACGCCGATGGGCGTAGAACGTATTGCGATACGCGTATTCGGAGTCTAGTACGCTACGGGGTTGAATTATCTCACTGAGTCGCAATAGTACGGTTGTAGGATTCTGACACTGAGCTATGAAGCAAACAGCAGCGACCCCATCTCTCTCTTTCTCTCTCTCTGACTCTGAGTCTCAGTACGAAGAGTACTTGGACCGAACCCGTGGCGAGACGACGATGAGACATAGACATGCCCTAGGACAATCAACTCAGTCTACGAGAATCACAGATGCAAGGGGTCCAGAGTTCATATTCTTCTAGTTCAGCTGAAATCAGAAATCGCGAAAGGTGCTGGGATTAGCACATACAGGCGCCATCTGTGTGTGATGTGAAAGCACGAGACATCCAACTTCGTGACAGGAGTTTCATACCTCAATATGTGTCTATCCCTGGGCCCTCCTCCTGTAATCTGGTCTCAGCTATGTCCGTGGATTGAGACACATCCGGAGAGGATTCCAGTGCTCGACAGGTGACGAAATGTGTCCAATTCAGCTTCAGTCGAAGCTCTGAACCTTCACATCGAGGTACAGAACTCACCTGCATGCTCGAGGAGCGCTATGGCAAGTCTGGTGTCAACTGCTATCTACGTCCGAGAAATCTCCACAAATAGACTCATGGATGGGACTTGCAATCTAACCTACAAGCGTTTCAGACTCCCTTAAAAATACAATTCGCGCAACTCCCGGAGACCTGTTCCCCGCCCCCACCCGGCTCACTGCTATGCTCCCACGCCGAAGATACAGGAGGACCACTGGACGGTCGGATGCATCGCGAACCTATTTATATGACCAAGAGCATGTCGCCCGCCATCTGGCGCCCGGTCAGGGACCCAAAAGTTCCTCCCGCATGCACACGGTCGGCGTGAGGACGAGCGGAGACAAAGCCGACAAGAACGGTGGGTCCAACCAGCGCCTTACAAGAACACCGGATCGATGTTCTAAGGCCCATCATCTCTTTAATGTGATTACTATCTCTATTAACATAACCTCGCCGCCGCTAAGTTTGGTTCTCACGCATCGTCTCCAAAGAAGTTGGAGTATCATCTCCAATTTATCTGGAGTGAGATTAAATTGAGACTTCGGAGCCGCTTGGCGCAATAGCACTCGGTCATAGCGTGGAGGAAATCCTCTCCTTCTCCGAAATAGCGGGGCCAGTCGGACCGCGGGTGGTTGCACCTCACCTCCGGTCACCTCATCTCTATAAAGTAATTTCTATTAACACAACCTAGCCGCCGGGGGTCTCTCGCATCGTCTCCAATTTATTTGGAGCGAGATTGAATTAAGACTTCGGAACATCTTCGCGCCAAAGCCCTCGGTCATAGCGTCGAGGAAATCCTCTCTGCCTCCGAAATAGCGGGGCCAGGCCGAACGCGGGTGGTTGCCACCTCACCTCCGGTCATCTCATCTTTTTAATGTGATTACTATTAACATAACCTCGCCGCCGGGGTCTCTCGCATCGTCTCCAATTTATTTGGACCGAGATTAAACTAGGATTAAACTTCGCGCCAAAGCATTCGGTCATAACGTGGAGAAAATCCTCTCTGGCTCAGAAATAGCGGGGCCAGTCGGACCGCGGGTAGTTGGCACCTCACCTCCAGTCCGAGATCGATCGTCGAGCTTTCCACGATCGACGGTCGAAATCTAAGCATGCACGGTCGAAAGTAGATAGCGGCTTATAATGCGATCGACGGTCGAAGATTAGGCGCGCTAGGTGGACTGTAGTAAGTGGGTAAAAACACTTTTACCTTCGATCCCTGGGTGAGATCCCAGCTTTTTACGATCGACGGTCGATGTTTATGCATGCAGCTTAGATCGTGGTTAGCGTGAGGTCTAAGCATTCTAGCATGGACGGTCAGAAAAGAGCCATCTCAGAACGAACTGCTGGCTGCTGCGAACGATCTGCTGCTCGCTCGATCGAATTCGACGACAAGATCACATCTGAAGTAATTTGCGAATACTCATCTTGGAAACTTCTGGGAGTAGCTCTAGTCGATTGAGGGTAGATGGGTAGATAAATGCAACAGCTCCAGAGTCCTTGTCGAGGCAGATGTCCCGGGCACGAGAAACATTTCAGTAGCAGGTCCGGTCAGCTTAGAGAACTCGAAGTATCGTCTCGTTCAGATCTGGATCTTTGAGTCTCCCCAGCGACTGTCCTTGTCATCGGAAGTCAAACTGCAGTTCATCTTAAACTCTGCTTAACTAGTCCTGCACGTCTAAAAACACGACAGTCCAGTCTCATCCACTCCCGCATCCTCTTCTCATGTACATGTTCAATCAAATGTCAATTTAAATATAACAGCGGCTGGCTGGAAAAAAATCCAAAATCAGATGGTTTCATCTACTGCAGCATTCTTCGTAAGATGTACGTCTTTTTATTGATAAATGTCAAAATAACGGCATCAAAATGATCATTAGAACGAGTATCCACTTTTGGAACAACACTGACCACACGAGCTCACTAGAAGTCCACGAAACGCGTATTAGTTAACAAACATATCTGAAATTGCCCCTCGTCCACTTTCGTCTAATCTGATTGAGGATGTTTTAGACTGGACGACGATGAGTGGTTGCGATGCTTCAAAGTTTCAAACCGACCCTTTTCGTCTTTCATGCGTTAAACTGATACGCTAAGCATCTACCCACACGGCATTCCCCGTCGACTTGCCTAGAGGGACCACCTCTAGGAACTGTGCTTATGGCACCTGGCAAACTGAATTCGACCTACTAAAATTATGACCAACCTCTGGACATGCATGCCTCTTACTGCAACATCTCCCCGTGACCAAAATGTCAACAGCATCAGCGAGTTCATGGATGTGCTTACGGGCAGACCATGGAAACGATTACAAGGACGTCTGAAAATTCCAAAGTTTTGAAGAGCAGGGCCTCGCGAAAGGGCTACGACTTTTTGAGCTTGAAAACGCTCTACTTCTAAGCTGGAATCCTCGATGCACATTTTTCGTGGGGTAATACGTTTTATCATGCAAAAAAATGCTTGCAAAAGTGATCTTGCACTAAAACACGCTACATACCCTCCAAGTAGGCCCACGAGATATTTGGGGAAACGCACCTGAGTATCCACTCGACGCTACGTCCATATGCCAAGCGTTCTGGATATCCAATCTCAGGATTTAGTCTCTGCCAGTCATCCTTGTGGAAAGTTTTGTTTCGCTTCCAGATCAACGAATCAATAACAGCCACAACTCAACTTGTGCTACAACATCAGTCTGGTTTGAGGAGTGTCGCTGTTCCGTATCTCGCACTTCTCCGTTTGGAGATCTGCGTCATCGGGGATCAGGGCGATCTCTTCTGCAGCTATGCAGCTATGTCGGCATCGTCGAGTTTATTGATAAAACAAACAACCATTCTTCAATGGATGAAACCTGGAATCTACGATCAGGCGATAATCCTCAATTCTCCCAGACTGAAAACAAGTATGATTTTGCAGCTATGAGTTTATACAGTGAGAATGCGAGTAAGTTTCTGAGATCTGGATCCTTCATAAGTCTTTTCATTTACCTGTCGCCACTACTTAATGCGTTTAGCGTTGACCTCGACCATTCACTATCAAGTGCTCTAGAGACGTTTGTGAACTGCAGGCTTACTGAACAGAGATAAGTTACACATGATAGGATTTTTTTATATCACCTTCACTATTTCCTCCTTATGATTACACACAAGGGGATTTCTGCAAAAAATTTAAGACATCATCCATCTATAAGACTGAACGAAAATCCGAAACTCTAATTGTTCTCATGAAATGTTTTTCAATGACCAATTAAACGTAAACCTTATGGTGGTCTCACTTGGCTCACATACACTGCTGATTTTTGTTTCTATTCCTTGTTAGAAAAACTTTTAGTGATGCTTGGGTATAAGCAAATTTTATGCATTTAAGTAGGCTTTCAGACAAATGTAGGATGATGAGAATGCAGATTCTTTCAACCAATCTCATTCTGTATAAATATAAATAGAATCTCAGACATGAATAGTTAGTTATACATTAGCTACATTAGATAGTCAATGTACATCGACTCGTAATAAGCAAGAGAAGATATAGATATATATATATATATATATATGCAACCAGGATCCAGGAACAGTTAGTTGGAATGCTTTTCAGGAGTCTAAAATTTAACATTTGAGTAGAAGACTGGAAGCTGTCTTTTCCCGATTGACAAAAGCATTACAAGATAATGCTAAAGTTAAGTTTCTAGCCGTATTCTCTCTATTTTTTCAAATTACATCAAATTCGTTACTGTGGACAATATAAGTAAATGGCCAGCAAAGATGGCCGCTCAAACTGGCAGGCCTGAGTTGCGCAGCTCTTTTGCGATGCATACTGCTTAATGGAACTTACATTTACTTCATCTGAGTCAAATCTTTATTGGATAAATTCCTCTGGTTCAAGATTTTAATACCATGATCTTCAACAGAGTGCCAAGCATTTCAGTGGTTTAATATCATAGTGTTTTCCTAATTTAGCTAAGGTTATGTGAACAAATTTAATGTCAATATTAATGGCAGCGAATGAGGTTTCATAGTCTGCAAGAGAGGACAACTGTTGAAAGGAAGGTCGGGACGACGTGAATAATCGCTGCTTACCAGCTAAAATCTTAAAAAAATTGGAACAAATTCAATATTGTTCTGTCTATTCTATTCGACGATATCAATATAATCTGTCAAATGTTCAAATTTCTTCACAATGGAAACTTATATTATAACTTTGTTTTTGAATTCAAAATTCTTAACTTTTATGCGTGATAATCTTAAGAGGGAGGCAGATGAGGTTTGGGAACGTTCAATGAAGAACATGGAAATTTGGTGCTCTGCAAACTAGAAAAATTTATGCGTTGATAAGTGGAGTCTTTGAACGATATAAATTGCGATGATGGGTCTTTAGGTATGGTGGGTTTTTAATTGGAAGATTCAATTGTCTCATGTGTCACGGCAGTTATTTTTCCGTGATGAAATCCTCCGAACTTGTCAATATTTGTGTTCAGGAATCTTCCCTACCTTGCCTGTGATGGAAAAGTGTTCTGTAATCTACAGCCAAATGTATCGGTAATGACTTATGAAGATATGATCTTCAACATCTAGCATGAAATCCTATCGATTTCTATCGTTTAGAGTCCCAAAAAAAACTACTAGCACTACTAAATGAGATACTTTTCTTGGAATTTTTTATCTCCAATAGAAGTTTTTAGTTGTCAACCTTGTACTTTGACTTTAATCCTTGCTTGTGCTGATAGGATGATCTTGTACCCTTTTAGCCAAAAATCCAATGTTAGTTTTTGGGCTTTGGTGATTGATTAGTTTTTACTTCCATTCATGTTAGCTATTAGATTAAAATGTGATGCATTATATCATGCAATACAATCTTCAACTTCACATTAAAAATAAACATGAGAAAGATGATTGGATCACTTCAGATTAAAAAACTATGAGTTTAATGAAATCAAGAACTAAAATGTCAGTAATCACAAAGACTACATCAATTATTATTTTTTTCCGGGTTCTTCAATTATAGTACGGAAGTTATGAGCATTCCAGTCAAAATGAATTTCAGAATTTTTGGATTCAGATTTTTATGTCCAATGTTGTTTTATGTACTTTTTCTTGTCTTTCATGATGAAACTAAAGGCGTATTTAGCTTATTGCATGATATTGATTTTTATAATTTCAT